ATAAAGTGTCCGTGTAGTGAAAGAAAGGCTATTTATCGAGAAGGTGTGGAGGCCCACACTTTACACAAAGTCCATAGAATAATTTGTGCACTTGTGCCATATGGGGTGTATACATTAGAAAGTACAACAGTGTGTGTACCTCAGATTTTGTGCGGCGCATGTCTCATGTTTGGTACCCGTGGGATTGCTGGGGCAGCTGTGCCACTTATTCCTCCGGTCTGATCTACATGTATATGTTTCACTGAATATGTGTATAGGGACTCGCCTACAAACTCACATATACTTGTATTTCTTCTCTCTCTGGGAATGTAAACAGACTCACATATGAACTCTTTCTCTCTCTCTCTCTCTCTCTCTCTCTCTCTCTCTCTCTCTCTCTCTCTCTCTCTCTCTCTCTCTCTCTGGGTATGTAAATAGTCTCACGTGTGAACTATTTCTCTCATTTGGTATGTAAACAGACTCACATATGAACTATTTCTCTCTCTCTCTCTCTCTCTCTGGGTATGTAAACAGACTCACCTGTGAACTATATCTCTCATTGGCTATGTAAATAGACTCACATATGAACTATTTCTCTCTCTCTCTCTCTCTCTCCCTCTCTCTCTCTGGGTATGTAAATAGACTCACGTGTGAACTATTGCTCTCACTGGGTATGTAAACAGACTCACATATGAACTATTTCTCTCTCTCTCCCCCTCTCTCTCTCTCTCTGGGTATGTAAAAAGACTCACATGTGAACTATTTATCTCTCTGGGTATGTAAAACAGACTCACATATGAACTATTTCTCACTCCAGGAATGTAAACAGACTCACATATGAACCCTTTCTCTCTCTCTCTCTCTCTCTCTCTCTCTCTCTCTCTCTCTCTCTCTCTCTCTCTCTCTCTCTCTCTCTCTCTCTCTGGGTATGTAAATAGACTCACGTGTGAACTTTTTCTCTCGTTGGCAATGTAAACAGACTCACATATGAACTATTTCTCTCTCTCTCTCTCTCTGGGTATGTAAACAGACTCACCTGTGAACTATTTCTCTCATTGGCTATGTAAACAGACTCACATATGAACTCTTTCTCTCTTTCTCTCTCTCTCTCTCTCTCTCTCTGGGTATGTAAATAGACTCACATGTGAATTATTTATCTCTCTGGGTATGTAAACAGACTCACATATGAACTATTTCTCACTCTGGGAATGTAAACAGACTCACATATGAACTCTTTCTCTCTCTCTCTCTCTCTCTCTCTCTCTCTCTCTCTCTCTCTCTCTCCCTCTCTGGGTATATAAATAGACTCACATGTGAACTATTTATCTCTCTGGGTATGTAAATAGACTCACATGTGAACTATTTCTCTCATTGGGTATGTAAACAAACTCACATATGAACTATTTCTCTCACTGGGTATGTATGCAGACTCACATATGAACTATTTCCATCACTGTGGATGTATACAGACTCACATATGAACTATTTCTCTCACTGGGTATGTGAACAGACTCACATATGAACTATTTCCCTCACTGTGGATGTATACAGACTCAAATATGAACTATTTCTCTCATTTGGTATGTATACAGACACGTGAACTATTTCTCTTATTTTGAATGGATACAGACTCACATATGAACTATTTCTCTCATTGGGATGTATACAGACTTATATGTGAACTATTTCTCTCATTGGGTATGTAACCACACTCTCACATGAACTATTTCTCTCATTTGATATGTATGCCTTGGTTGATTTTCATGAGATATCTTATACTGATTATGTTTTACACTTTCATCGTGACCTCTTCTGTCTCACGGAATAATTATGTCTACACACTCACGTCGTAAACTATTTTTCTTAGAAATGTTTATACACTTGTGTACTGTATACTAGTAAAGAGAGATTGCAAAACCTATTGATTGGGACACAGTCTTATACATGTACCAAGCAGATGACGACCTTTCGTGTTTATACCTCGTATGGTATATTTTCAACAATCAACAAGCGTAGGCATGTTGCTTTGGTGTGCAACGATTACATCAATATGTGCAGGTCATAGTTCATATGTGGTTTAAACATATTTTTATTTCAAAAGAAATCTGGATCGGTAAACAAGCAAAACTTGCTTATGTAAATACCTCTCCAGGTAATACCTCTACAACAGCTGGTTATATATCAGATTATATGTAACATAGTGCTAAACATAAACATACTAAATGCACAAATGAAATATATGAAGCCAATACAAGTGGTGTCTGTGAAATAAGATATAGCAGTTTTCCATTACTAAATGCATAAAATTAAGCTACTCGAATCTTTTGCTTTTGACAATGAAATCGTGAACTGATTTAAGACTAGTCATGTTTGCAGAACTGCTGACTGAACTACTGCCATGTAATATCGTTTTTAGATCATACCCATGTGTGTAGAAATACATAGTCTTTCTAATATGATGGTATTTTTGACAGGTATAGAAAAAGTGAATTATGTTCATATGTGATGTCACTATCGATACCAGCAGCATTGAGCTCCCTGGCACGTGTGAAAATAATGTCGATTTCAAATAACGCAACCATAGTAAAGCCTAATCATTTTAAGTAATGATACTATGATGATCACGTCGCCTCCTGGGCAAGTTTTATTTGTTTTGATCCTGTGTTCACAAACTGCTGTGAATCTGTGTGTGTGAGTGAGTTGATTCCACACCGCTGTCTGTTATATGTAACCATACCTACACGTACGAGCTTTAATCTTTGCGAGTTGGGCTCAAGGCCGGTTTTTAGTCATGTGGAACCAAAGGTGACACGGGTCGCAGACGTTGAAAACTTCGTTCCAACCCACGATCACCTTAATGGTGTTGACAGGCCAGCCGATCCAAGCAGCAGGGGGGCGGTCGGGTAGCCTAGTGGTTAAAGCGTTCGCTCGTCACGCCGAAGAGACCCGGGTTCGATTCACGACATGGGTACAATGTGTGAAGCCCATTTCTGGTGTCCCCCGCCGTGATATTGCTGGAATATTGCTAAAAGCGGCGTAAAACCATAGTCACTCACTCACTCCAAGCAGCAAAGGGATACAACTCTGCACCGAGTCGCCTTTGACCACTGAACAATTCACGGGCCACACGTCACATAGACTTGATAAGAGGGATGACTTCAACTTTCCAATAGTCATCTTTACTCATGTCGAGCAATATTCATGCAGCTTCAGCCTTTGGTGTTTGCATTTCACACTTTTGAGAAACAATGAAGCATGCTATTTGAACCAAGATTTCAAAGAGCGTCATACGACTCTTGCTCAGAAGTTGTTTGATCAAGGTTACAACATTTAAGGCATCAATTTTATGGTAGACATGTGGATGACATTTCCAAATTTGACGCATCCTATTTTGACTTGTACCATATGGTCCCGTGTTTTTTTCAGGTGAACATGCCTTTGCATGTGTTTGTGACGGGTGCCACCGGTGGGGCAGGATACGCTCACCTTTTCGCGAACACCTGGTATCATTACTATTTGAAAGTGATTCATAAACACATGCTAATGATATAGTTGGAATATTTCAGTCGACTCTACATAATGCAGCGATTTCTGTTGGATATGGAAAGGGTTTTGTCGCTTTTGTTATATGTAGAATTGGTAATAGCTTACATGCACTTTGAGCAACTAGACGGAACCCCCTCCAAGAGAAGCAAACACCTCACTGTATGTTTGTGCATGCAGGGCAGATGGACGTCCGCTATTTCACGGATGCCTGGTGATTTATCACTGGTCGAGGTCATCCGTCTATTTCATGTCTTGTCTGTCTCACTGGGGAGATGGGATACTTACCCGCTGCATGTCTAGCTGCCGGTAAAGGCGGACATTGCACATGTGGATCCTTAACAAGAGTTCACACTAATCAACCAATTTCTTGAACTCGGGTTATTGTGTGTTATTCTGGATTGGGACGAAAGGTACAGGTAATAAGCACTGGAGGGCATGTGTGAAGAGATACAGTAAACTACGTTTATAACGAAGTCAAAGGGACTACTAATTTAGTTCGTTATAACCGTAGTTCGTTGTAGGCATATATACTGCATATATCCAGCAAACCAAAAACAAGTTAGTTGTATCTGTCAGTTCGTTATTTGGTGTGTTCGTCATAAACGAATTTCACTGGAACTCTTGTATTGCCATGTGTGCTTTACTAAATAAAAGGACATTATTGTCGTAGTTCGGACATTTTGCATTAACTGAATTTCGATATCTTGGCAGGGATATTCAGGGAACCATTCGGAACGATTCTCTCCGTAACCTCAAAAAACGCTTGTTCCGGAATGACATGAGTGGTCAATGGTAGAGAATGAAACTTTTATGATGATGCTGGTGGTCGTAAGGGCGACCAAATAGATCGGGTGGTCAGTTTCGGTGACTTGGTTCATTGCGTGTCACCGTGCCCCGACGGCGTGGATCGTTGTTCATAATATCGATCACTGGATTGTCTTGTCCACATTCGATTTTTGACAGACTCCCGTCATATAGGTAATTTGTTGCTGAGTGCGACGTTAAACAAACGCATAATAAAAATAATAACGGTAAATGAACAAGCTGCCAAACAAACAAATATACAGTTGCTGAAGGCACCCTGAAAGACAATAGCAAAATCGAAAGGTCGACTATCAGCAAGACAGCATCGGCCGAGTGTTATATTTGTACAATGAATGATATCTACGGAAACCTTAAAGGGCTATTTGTTTTTTTTTGTTTCTTGAAATTTCAAGATACTAAATTGAAATTTCAAGATACATACGTTACAATCTAAATATTTCAACTTATTAGGTTAGTAAGTAGCCTATCATTGCTATGAGTCGACCTTGAACCACCATGACTAACGTCTGATGTCATCATCGTCGGTTGAAAATGATACTTGAGTGAACTGATCGCTTCAATCTCATTTCCCTTGACCTGGAAATATTTAAGAAATAAAAAACGAGTGGGAGTCGTTTATTTCTTATATGAGATATCAACATTATATCCAGCCTCTTTAAGGATGTCGATAAAATGTACAAGCTTTATACATTTACCCGTTTTTTAAAATAATTATGACTCCCTGAATACAGTCCGACCCCGACAATGTCGGACAAATCCATTTTATGAACAGGGGGCTTAGGTTTGGTATTTCCCCGATGTTCTCAAATGTACTTTTTCTTCCAATACCGGTTGTCATATCTCTCCCGCTTTTGGACACGATCGTTCGGCCATTGCGTTTATCTGCTTTGTCCAGCTACATCTATGGGGAAAATATCACTGGACACATTCTCAAAAGTAACGTCGTCCAATTTAAGACGTCATCAAGTTGCTCCAGAAATGACGTCATGCTAGAACAATGTTGTATCGTGAAATAAACCACGCTTTGTTCTTCGTTGTTCTTTGCTATCTTTTATATATAATGATAAATGTTAACGAGGATCCATTTCATCTAAGGCTCAAAGCAGTTTGGCTGGAACTCGTATGTTGCGATATAAATATATATACATGCCAAATGGTCTTCACAAGCCATACCTCTGTACTTGGCCATGTTATAGTCTGAACCATGTACACTATAAATGCAATGGGACTAGTTGGCAGTCACGTGACCATGACATATATTTCAAAACAATTCTATTTTAGAAACATCTCCGAAACTTAGAAATTTGTCATTTCCAAAAGACCTGTAAGGTTTCTCATAGTTCATTGTAGATGAGTAGTTAGTGAAACTAGAGGGGTGATTTTGACAAGGATCCTCCTTTAAAATTGTTATCATTCTGAAGCTCTTCGCTGATAATAGATACTTTGTCATGATGCCTTAGCATGAAAGGTAGATGGGAACGACTTCGCAATCTTTTTAAAAAACAAAAATCGTCCAGCTAAAGATTTGATTTGCTCCTAATTTGTGGTAATTAGCGCCGACGTTCATACCGTTGGGCCCCCACTCTATGAAGGTTCATACTCCAATGAACTCAAACAAAGTGAAAGTCGGTTCTTAAATAATACCACCATTTCACATGGAATCCGTAAAATATCTTATGCAGAACCATCAGTGCTCAAATGATGAAACTTGACGTCATTGTAAACCAGAAACGAGTTTGAAAATACTGTTAGTTTTAAATCACGTCAGATTTTGACATTTTTTTCTGCATTCAAGTTTCAATGCATGCAAGTCGGCGTTTTCTACGTCAAAGTGCTGTAGCATGGTGAAACGTGCAAGTAGACAAAAAAGTGAACAAGTATTTGCGAGACCCTCCCAAACACATTCCACCGTATTGTTGGCATTGCAGAGAAATGGGCAAAAATAGTCTTTTCCTACACGGTTGCCATGGCAACTGAATATGACTTCGGATGGGAAACGTTTAAGCATAATTTCGAGAAACCATCTGTGAGATGGTCTATGACGTTCATCTTTATAGTCTTTCATCACAAAGCAAGATGGCGAAACCCGTCGAAGAGTGCACGGGTCCCGGCGGCCATTGCGTAAAGGCGGCATGTGAGAGAGGATCCCTTGAAGGACGTACATTTGTACTTGAAGTGTACATGACCCTAAACTTGTCCCCCGACCTTGACCCCTTTTGCGCAGATTATATTATTGTGTATGTTTGCAGTTTATATGCGTTTCTTGCGCATGTTTCTGTTAACAAAGTACTTCTGACTTGACTATAAATGATAACTTTGTCACTACAAGTGCACAAAGAGAAACGATGCAGTTTTTCGAGACGTAATTTCGCTATGTGTACATACGTCTTTTAAGGATGTACGTTTCAGCAACTTAAAAGAAATTGAATTTTACTTCATTTCACAATTCATTCGGTTGAGGGACAAACTGAATAATGTCGGACCTTGGCAACTTCAAGAAACGCGTCTTCTATCAGATTGTTCTTTACATTTTTAAAAACAATTTCAGCCAGCGGGATCGGTTGGTTAGGTTAGGTTACTCTGTGTTTCAGAGTGCGGACGATGGCGTGGACCTTTGCTCATGTCTTCAGTCACCGGTTTGCTTGGTCCAGGCCCAATCATGTACAGGCGACCGCGATAGAGCTGGAACACTGGTGACGTAACACAACATTCACTCACTATCATCCGGGCCACGGGTAGTCCAGTGGTACTAGATGCCGTGGGTGCCTCATCCCTCCACCGTGACGAGTTCGTTTGTCAAGGGTTCGAATACTAAACTAGCCTCGATTAGGATCATGGTCTACCAGCAACATAGCAACGTTCACGACCTCCGTCACCTAGAACGTAATTCCAACTTAAGCTGACATGCTATGATATAACTGAAATACTGTTACAAGTTGCTTAAGCCCCATTCACTGACAGTCTTTATCATAAATACCACAGACCTATATTATCTAGTTCCGTGGAAATACACCATCAATCAACTATTATGCTTATGCGTTACTGTTATATTCATGCATGTCCTTGGCCAACACAGGGACGGTTACATATAAATGTATAAGTGTCTAAAACCGTAATGTCTGACATTAATTGGAAGGACATACAGTAAACTACGGTTATGACGAACTCAAAGGGACCGCTAATTTTGGTTCGTTATAACCGTAGTTCGTTATAAGCAGATATACAGCATATATGCAACAAATGGCCGGGACTAAAAATTAAGTTCGTTATATCGGTCAGTTCGTTATAAGCGTGTTCGCTATAACCGTAGTTTACTGTAATAGGAAAATGATAAAGTGTTCTGTCAACACGTGGAAGCAGACATCGCGCTTCTGTGTGCTTTTTCATTCCAAGTCAAGTACAAACTCATTGATCACGAGAATCTTCGATTGGGGAGATAAGCATAATTAGGTTCTCCGTAACAACAACCTTATCCTACCAGAAAGAGCACGGTGTTAAGAATGAATGAATATGGTTTTACGCCGCTTTCACATCTCTTCCAGCGCAATACCACGGCCGGTGACTCCAGAAGTGGGCTTCACACGGGGGCTAAGGTGTGACACAAGGCTAACCCACTGCTTCAGACTTGAAAAAGCTGGACGAAGCTGTGACATTCTGAAAATATAAACACATATTTCTACACATCTGCTCAAATCACATATTAAAAAAACAACAAATTAATAAAACACCGAAGTACAAAAAACATAAAACCGCTACAATTATAAATGTATAATAGGAACAAAACAATGGCATATTACTTTGAACTCGGCACCACGATACCCTATGCGGAGTTACGTCCCTTAGTTGCGTCAGAAGCCGCCCGTCGTGGTTTCAAATCCAAACATCACTCCAGTTATGACCCTTGGTTTATCAGCACCATACCTGTCCATCTTGGCCTCACCACAGCGGTTACCATCACTATAAGTTTTCCACATTAAAGTGACATTAAATCTCACACCCGCGTGGCCATCGAATTCTGTGTTTGTTTAGTCTAACCTGGGACCTGCTGACACCAGAACCCAGGTGCACAGTGCACAATGCACAGGTGCACAGTCTCTAGGTGCACCCCGCACGTTACGATGCCATACAGGACACACCAGATTTCCCTGCACTCGGTGATCTGGTAACCCGATACTGCCAGTTTCGACGGTGCTCCCAGCAGAATTGTACAGTCGACTCTGGTTTAAGCAGATATTTCTCATGAACAGCTAGTCTGTCTTACAGACCCTGATACAAATATATATCAAATACAGCCCATGCAAGTCTATAATGTTTGGCAAGTCTAGATCACTGCAGTATCAGAAATGAAAATGAAGAGAGTCACTGGGCTCCTTTTTATTATATTTTTATTAAGATAACTGAACAACTGTTTTTTTATATAAGATGTGTTCATTTCAGAGACTAGATGTTAGTCTAATGAACATCGAAAGGGTTTTGTCGCTTATATTTGTTTGTCTCCAAGGCAACTGACAATACTTTCCGCACATCGTTTAGATCCGTGCTGATACATACAGTGATGCTAATGGTATACGTTTGTTGCTAGCTCTGTAAATCATGTAATAAATAAATACATGAATTTAATGCCAGGTTCTCTTGCTCGCATGAATAAAGTGACGCATTTCCATCTGGAGATTTTAGGGGTTATTGTCACGTCAGGTCTACAGCACGTACATACCTGAAACAATATCACTAAGCTTCCGATAAATACTGTAACTGAGGACTAGATACAGTTATCTTCAACTTTCTTCTATTGTTTCATTAAATTTCGATTACATGCACCCATGCATGTGTAAAGACGCGACTAACGGTATTGTTTTTTTGTTTGTTTGTTTGTTTGTTTGTTTGTTTGTTGTTTAACGCCGCACTCAGCAATATTGCAGCTATATGACGGCGGTCTGTAAAATAATCGAGTCTGTACCAGACAATCCAGTGATTGACATCATGATCATCGATCTACGCAATTGGGATCGATGACATGCATCAACCAAGTCAGCGAGACCGATCCCGTTAGTCGCCTTTTACGACAAGCATAGTTGCCTTTTACGGCAAGCATGGGTTGCTGAAGACCTATTCTACCCCGGAATCTTCACGGGTACTTAAGGGTATTGAGTGGTCTGGCTCGGTAATAGTGGTCTGGCTCGGTAATATGGTTGATGTTTGTCATCGTATGCCAATTGCGTAGATCGATGCTAATGATGTTAATCACTGGAGTGTCTGGTCCAGGCTTGATTATGTACAGACCGCCGTCATATAACCGGAATATTGCTGTATGTGTAGTTAAACAACAAACCAACATGTCAAGCGTGCTTCGTAAAGCAATATATAGAGGTTATCACGCGAGTGTGTTTGGGATGGTAAATATCCTGTATTAGGAATAAACATTGTATTTAGCGAGCCTTGGCGTGATAACCTCTTTATCCTATAATGTCATTCTTCAAGTCTGTGCTTGAAAATCGCTTTCCATCTCTCACAAACATTGCCGAAACATTGCGAGTTTTCATGGAATGTGCGCATTAATATATATTAGGTCACATGGTAAGTGATGTGTCAGTCGGACAGTGACAGTAGCCAATATAGTTCCAACTGAAATCTGTTTCTTATACAGTGGCGAAACAACACATACGCAAAATTGCTTCTACTTGCCTTTCGCGGCAATGCATCGGCCTGTCCGTTTGAGTAACTGCCCTTTTTCAAAGGGAATTGCTATTATAGTATACTATATCATGGATTCAAATCTACAGTCTTGTTAACTGATAAGCGTCTGAATTTTCAAAGGTATTACATTCGCATTAATTTCATGACGTATTTAATCCTGGTCGCCGGGCCAAGCATGAATTAGGTGGCTGATTTAAGGACAAGTAAAGTCAACATAGCAACTTTGCACATTTTAATACTTTGGGGCATACTTAATCACAAATACTTTACCAAAATTAAATTTGAAAAACAGAAACAGCGTAAAACAGGCGATAATAAACGACAGGCGAAATCATCCTCAAAACGAAAAATTCCGCCGCTGAGGGGATTCCCCAAAATGGGGCTCCAACACGTTCCCGGTGTTTGACGCTTTGTGCAATTTAAACGATCGTGACCATCGGACCGACGTCTAGTCTTCCTGCTTCTGCCTCGATTTTGTTAATGCATTACGTCTTTTTTCTGTCTGATCATCCATTTTATCAATGTGTCCAGTTATTAACTTGTGCCACCTTGTAATAACACTGAAAATGGCTTCAGATGTTTACTGACAAGCACTCAATGGTGGAATAGGACTGAGAACAGCTGGTGGTTTATTACCCAAACAGGAGGTTAGTAATAAAACGCCAGTTACGGATTGTTAATCGTTATTGTAATTATATCTAGGGAATGTGATATCGCAACAAAACCGCAACCATTTCTTTCACGTTTTCCTTTAATGTCATGATTTTCAAAATGGACCAAAATAGTGTGAGCAGTCTCCTACCAGTTGGGTTCACAGCTTTAAAATTATTAAGAATGCTGTCGAAGCATATGCCAACAAATGGGCCAAAAGAAAGGACGAACCTGTTGGATGTTTTTTCCGTGTCGGTTACGTCAGTGCGTGATGTTGTCATTGGAAGAGTCCACAAACAAAAAAGGAAACAGAATTGGAGCAAACCCATTCTGTCCCAACAGCTGACACCCAAAGTCTGACTGCCCTATATTAAACGTTTCTGGTTGTTCCCAATGACAAGGCCTCAAATAACATAACTATTATATGTAAGCATCACTACATTAGTTGTTTGATCAAAGAACTTGGTATAAGTGCCATGTCAAATAATGCCATACAAGGCCAGCATGAAATCTGGCCAAACCATGCATCAGTACTAACGACTTTTAATTTTTGAATCTGAAACCTGAAGACCTGTCCATTCCTCTTTTCCAAATCCAAATCTCCATAAAAATCTGTACAGAGAAAATATATTGAGAGATCCAGCGATCCCTGTCTCAAAGACTTCCCGTAATCCTTAAAACTACCAAGGAAGGACTTTCTTTATATTCTCAGAAAGTATTTGAGACGAGTCGAATTAACACCACGTGGATTCTCAAAATCTCCAAGAATATGCTTGAAATCTTGCAAACTTAGAAAAGAACCAAGTTCAATTCCGTCAAAACATTTGATATTTCACCTTTGCACGTCACCATGCCACATAACAAACTTCAATCCTTGATCCATGGGGCCTGTGTTACAAAACGTGGTGAAGGTAGGTTTACTTAGATATCAATCTTCAGAGGTTGCGGACAATTCGTCCAAAATGAAAGAAAATGCCATCTGAAGTTTACCGAGAAAGCAGTATTTGAAATGTTGGACTTCCTCATTGATAAGGTCTATGTACAATTTTGGGGTAGGACATTTAGGTAAGACGTAGGCATCCCCATGGGCAGCAATTGCGCGACCTTTCTTGTTGATCTGTTTATTTGTGCATATGAATCGGAATTTCCGCTCGGATTGGCAAAGTCAAACATGGTAATTTAACCAAGAAATTTAACACAAACTTCAGGTATATTGATGATCTAATATCGTTCTGTAACCATCAAACAGGCAATTCCCTTCCACTGATTTCAAGACTTCAAAAAGCGTCACACGACTCTTACTCAAAGGTGTTTAATCAAGGTTACAACAAGGGCTCGAGCTTTCAAAACGTTTTATGGTAGACGTGTGGTTGACATTTCCCACTTTAACGCATCAGTGACACAATGTATGTCCGATGCAATTCCCTATTTTGACATGAACCACATGTTCCCGTGTATGTTTAAGGTGAACAATTGACTTGCTTTTGCATGTATTTGTGAGAGGTGCCATCGTTGGGGCAGGATACGCTCGTGTTCAATAACCATCAAGCTGTCAATTCCCTTCAACCGATTTACCCACCTGAACTAGATATTAAGGAGGCCAGTGAGACCGTCTCATCTGTTTCAAATTTAGATAAAGATTCATAGTGACAAAACACTCTCAAAGAGTAAGGAAGAACTCATCTTAGAAAATATAACATAAAGTTTTCTTTAGAAGGAAGCACCTTTCTAGGGTGAAAAAGAATGACGTTTCCAAATTCCAAATGTAAGGAAACTGACTCTATTAACAGCAATAAGGGTAGAAAGATCAACTGCAATAACTTTCAGATATTTGTAAATTAATTATACAATTTCCAATGTTGTTTGGTCAGTTGATATGACGTCATCATCACGGGTGGCCCTGTCGTCTCCTTTGGGGACGCCAGAAACCTATGATTGTGTGTTCGAATCCCGGTACGTCCCGATTATGCTTTTAGGTTTGTCAGCATCATACCCGAGTGATAAACGTCTATGACCTGCATCACTTCGGGCTTTCCTCCCATATTGAGATGACACTCCGTGATATAACTGTAAGACTGTTAAAAGCGGCGTTAAACCGCAACTCACTCACTCACTGACACCATGATAGACTCGGAACAGATCGTCCGTAATACCTCCAAGCTTGAAGGTTATTCTCTCATTAATATTTGTTATGTGAGAATTATTTTTGTCGAGATGTATCTACATTTCGACAATAAGAAAGTATCATACTTTGTTTCTAGAGAAGGGGTTATCGACCTTTCTGGAGTATGGAAGTTTACGTCTTTTCT